ACATTATTAAAAAAAAACACCATAAGGAAAAGAAAACACATGGAATGGAAAATATTCGAGCTGGGCTACAAGGAGAAGTCATTGGCTAAGCGGTTGACAGTGATGATGATGACGATGAGGACGAATGTCATGATGACATGGGACATGAAGAACGACACAATTTCAAACAAGCATTATGTGCCTCCAAATAGTCAACATGGGAAAGAGAACACCTTCATAAAATTCCTAATAGAGCACAAGGTTCCAGGACAAGTGATGGTGCACAAATGAGACGGGGAGCAAGTGTTAGAGAATCACAACCAACACCACCAATAGCCCCAAGTTTATATAAGTCATCCAAAGCATGTCAAAAGAGTGTTTGGAGTTATTTCACTGGAGGTAATGTGAAGGAGGGAATGGGGCGTCTAATTAGCAAGTTCTTTATCTATGAAAATGTCCCTGCTGAGAAGGCATCATCACATCATTTCAAAAATATGGTATTGCGATGTCAACAGGCCGATGTTGGAGTACAACCTCTCACTCCCTATGAGGTAAGAAACAAATTGGAAATGGAGTATAAAGACATTGGCGAGTATGTTAACAAGTTGAGGTCAAAGTGGGAAACTAATGGTTGCACAATCATGTGTGACGGATGGACTGGCTCGACCAGATTGTCTATCATAAACTTCATGGTATACTCCAAGGAAAAGACAATTTTTTTGAAGTCCGTTGATGCTTCAGACCATATAAAGAACTACAAGTATATTTACAAATTATTGAGGGATGTAATCATAGAGGTGGGAGAGCATAATGTTGTCCAAGTCGTGACCGACAACAGTTCTGCATTTGTCAAAGCTGGAAAAAAATTAATGAAGCATCATAATGTGTTTTGGACATCATGTGTAGAACATTGTATTGATCTTATGTTTGAGGCAATGGGGAAGAGAGAGAATATTGCTAATGTCGTAAAAAGAGCTAGAACGATCACAAATTATATTTACAATCACGGTTGGTTGTTGGAAAAGATGCATGAATTTTGCAAAGGAGAAATTATTCGTCCAGCTACCACTCGATTTGCCACCAACTGTATTGCATTAGACAGCCTACTTAAGAAGAAAGCAGGTTTAAGCAACTATTCACTAGTGACGAATGGGCCAACCACAATTTCAGCCGCTCAAATGCAGGTCATATGGTGGAAAGTATAGTGCTTGATCATGCTTTTTGGACTCAATCAGAACATGTGTGCCAAGTGTTTGAACCTCTTTACAAAGTTTTACGGATCGTTGACACAGAAGTGTATCCTACTATGGGGGCAATATATGAGTTGATGCGTGCAGTGAAGGAGGACTTGGAAAGAAAACATGGTGCAAGGTGGGTCATAAAGATAATTGATGACCGATGGTATAAAACATTATACCACGATTTGCATGCAGCAGGTATAAATTATGTCATAATTTGCAATTCATTTCTTTAGTTGCATAAATATTATTTCTCTTATTAGAGTATGTGTTTCTTTGAATAGCATATTATTTGAATCCTCGATACCAATACAGACCTGGTGTTGGAGATGATGGTACCCTTATACGTGTTGTACATAATGTATACTCTAAATTAGACCTTGCATCACTAGCAGTTGGCCAATTTGGAAATGAGGTACACAATTACTTAAATTATAATAATTACATTGTTGGATTAAACTAACACGATTTATTGAATTCAGCTAACATGGTTTAAAGATGCAAGAAGAACTTTTGGAGAACCAACATCAGTTGCTGCTCAAACAAAATGTCTCCTAGTGAGTGTAAACATATTTCACTATCAGTTTATAATAGAATTTGTTGGAGTAATTAGGCTTATCAACATTGTTTTTCATTATAGCTAAATGGTGGATCATGTATGGGACTGATGCACCAACTATGAGAAAGTTAGCAATCAAAGTATTATCACAAACAGCTTCCTCATTTGCTTGTGAAAGAAATTGGACTACATTTGCACTCACACACACAAAGCAAAGAAAAAGGTTGGCTCATAGTAGGTTGGAAAAATTAGTTTATTGCTACTACAAGATGAAGCTTCAAATTCGAGATAAGAAGCATAAATAGATCATGTCGACCATGGTGACCCACTAGATGTATTTGATATTATTGCTGAATATGATGATACAGAGGGTAACCAACTTTATCAATGGATTAGACCTCTTCATTTAGATGATGATGAAGGCAATCCAGCTCTAAGAGTTGCTGAAGAAGCACATAATGAAGGGATAATTGTAGAAAGAGTATTAGAGGAGGAGGTGGGATCCAGCAACGCTGACTCTTTGGAAGAAATTTTGCGCCTAAGACCAAGAAACACTGGAATTCCACCTTCTTCCAATCCTACACAACCACAAAATCCTGCTGATACTAATGATAGCTCTATTACAAGATCAAGTGACTCACTTACCACCGGAGGTGGGAATGATGAAGGATATAGTGGTGGATATGGAAACTATGTTGAACCACCTCCCGGATTTATGAGCCCCTTCACTGGTAAGACAAATTTCATGCATGCAACACAGGATGAGGACCATGGCAGTAGGTGGGTAGGACCAGGAATTGGTGTCATAGGGAAGGACTATACTCGTAGAGAAAGAGGCAAGGGGACTTTGTCAAGTCAAGAAGATGACTCATTATCTATAACTTCGGACTCTCTTGGAGTCGGAAGTAGTGACTATGGTTATAGTCATAACCAACCATTTTCCTACCCTTCATATCCTATTCATGTTGGGATGGAATCGAGCAACTCATGGAAAGAATCCGAGACTCAATCTTCAAATGATTTTTCTTATGGACAACATCAACTAATCTCGGATCCATATGGGTGGCATGTTAACAATTACATGCAAAACTATTTTGGGGATTTATCATTTGATGACTACTCTTCACAATACACTTACTCTACACATAGAGATGATGAGGATAGTGAAAATTTTGAATCTCATAGGAACTCTATGTAGGTACTAAGTCACTCATGTTTCTTACCATGCAATGTATAAAGTGTAAAATATTGTACTAATTCATTATATATAAATGATTATGGTGTGATTAAACTTCTTTCATTAATTACTACATATTTTCTACACTCACAAAGTTTGCCAACTCGCTATATAATCAACTTAAATCAGTTAAATCCATCATGCAATGCATTTCCTTCCAATTTTTTGTGATAAACTAATAGATAATTGACTAAATAAGCATCCTGCAAAGTTTCAATAAAAATTTCCAAGTTTTTCTTAAAATTTCCATGGTTTTTATTCAATTTTTATCAATATCGATAATATCCCAATATTTCCGTGTTTTTGGACTACCGATATTTCCGATATCATCGATATTTTAGACCTTGATCGTAACATCCCACATCGCCGAGGGGAGTGGATCATGTAAGCCTTATATGTATATTCTCATCTCTACCTAACATGAGGCCTTTTGGGAGCTCACTGGCATTGGGTTCCATCGGAACTCCGAAGTTAAGCGAGTTTGGGTGAGAGCATTCTTAGGATGGGTGATCTACTGAGAAGTTCTTATGTGAGTTCCCAGAAACAAAACCGTGAGGGTGTGGTAGGGGCCCAAACGGACAATATCGTGCTACGGTGGAGTTGAGCTCGGAATGTGGTGGGGGCCCAGCCGGGATGTGACAAAGAGATGATCATTTTTACTTCTTCGATTGAGGTCCAATTTCGGCAGACCTCACCAGAAATTGACCAGATAACCCGCGATCACATGTCTTCTTAGATCTGAAATAGAGGAAATTTGGCTTTGAATTTGTAGAAACAAACTTAGGGGTTGGAAAGAGGAAGGGAAAAGGATTGAGTAATTTGACAATCGTTGGTGACCAGAGGACGGCGGCGCTATTGCATGAGAAAGAAGAGGGAGAGAAAGGATACTGGAGGGAGGATAGAAAGAATGAAGGGGGAAGGGAGTAGAGAGAGAAAAAAAAAGAAATAAAGAAACTTAAAAAATATCTGAAGAGATAAAACAAAAGAATAAAAAAAGATATGTATAGACAAGTTTGGCACCAATGCACAAATATTGTTAGTGGCCCTATTTCAAAGCCCACCGATAATAAACTTCAATGAATATAGAGTTAAGAAAGGCACCAATCTTCAATAGTGTGTAAAGAAGGGTGTCCTATAGCCCTTTTTCTAGTAGTGGCATTTTGTTTTGTTTAAGTGACATAAAGCTAAAAAAATCCTAAAATGATAAAAGTCAAGGTTAGGCCAGTTTGCCAACTTCATTGCTGTTGCACCCAAGTTCAAATCTAGTAGATTTTTTTTTTTTTTAAATTTTTGTGAGGCCACTAGTGCAATCTATCACTTATCCTATAGATTATAGTAGTTTGAGAATATATTCTTATAAAAAGTAAATTAAAAGGAAAATTGTCACTTTCAAAATGGGATTTCAAAGAAGACCAAAACTAATAAATTACAAAAAAAAAAAAAAAAAAAAAAATCAAAAACAAAAAGAATGGAACATTATATAATTGATGCTTAATATCAGGTGAGTTTTTTATGTCAGGTATAGAACTGATGGGGATGTGATTAAGAAAGAGTTGTAGGGCAGAGCCTGAATCAATTTCTTGGTTGTTTACTTGCGTTCTGAGGTTGGAGACGAGGCTCTCTTTTCTTCTGCGCCACTCCACTTTCTGAATTTTTTTTTTTTTTTTTTTTTTTTCCATTACATTCCTTTATAACTGAGCAGACTGTAGTAGCAAAGCAGTTGGAAGCAAAATGAGGTATTCTAAAATACCTCTGTTTTTAACTCTTTTTATTTTTTTTTATTTTTTTTTTATTTTTATTTATTTATTTTTTTTCTGTTTTGGTAGTGATTTTAATCACCGCCAGTATTTGGGCTTAAATGATTCTTGTTAGCTCTCTACTGCTCCATTGACACTTCTCTTCGAAACTAACATCCGCGCGAAAGAATACGCATGTAGACGGATGGTTTCTGAGACAAAATGATTTTTTGTTATGCAACATACAACCATATTTCAAACTCACTGCAATTATATTTGATACAGAAAGTTCATAGCTTCTTAGGGATATATCAGCTCCATGAAGGATGAAAGCAGCCGGCGGTCAGCTTTCTGTAACTTATTTTTGTACATCTCGCGACTCTCTAATGCTTTAAGCTTATAAAATCCATATTCAAGAGTTCTGAAGGATTTTCTGGTTTGAACACAGTAACAAAGGTGGAACTTGGCTATTGAAAAGACAAAATGCTGCAGAAGCTATTCACTCATCTGCCAAATGCGCACTGCGACTGCAAGAGTCTTTTCTCGTTACCATTTCTCAACTGTCCTTGGAAAGTAGTTGAGACGTTTAAGACCATTATATAACCATGCCGTCTTGTACTGTTGCCTTCTCCAGAATAATTGTGATTCCCTCGCGAATGTAAAATCCGTCTTCTGGCCTATCTGCTTCTTGAACACCCTACACGACCAGAGAATTTAGATGGACCGTAAGATTGAATGCGAAAGTATATATTTGCTTTAATGAAAACTTTCTCCGGTAAAATTTTGGTTAAGAGGTAGAAGGAAAAGATAAATGTAGCCTAGAAATAAGACTAGATCACGGGAAGCCATGCTTACATTTTTGTTCACGATCATTACGTCCTTGCCTATACTCGCATTCTTATCAATTATACAATTCCTTCAAGGAAGAATCATAAGACATAATTAGAGAACTCGGCATTCTATATTTCAATTAAAGCAAAGAACCGTTTCTCAAATTACGAGTCTAGTTACCAAATCTTTGTATTGCTTCCAATACCAATTGGGACCTTCCCGTCTGCAAGCAGCGATGCGATTTCAGATTCAGTTTGGTAATAGTCGGCACCCATCATTATGGAATCCTGCAATGAGAGAACAACTTAATAAACTAAGTCATCTGAGAAAAGGTAAACAAATAACAAAATGGCCACATCATCAAATTTTCTGTTCCAAATCTATGATAACTAACCTTGATTTCGACACCATAATTCAATCGTGAACGTTCACCCACAATTGAATGCTGGACACTACAATCTTGCAAGAAACATCCATGTGAGATTATTGCATCTGCAATCTGCAAAAAACAACACATGCATGAGAAGAGAGATACCTCAGTTAAGTTACCAATAAGAGCCTAAGTCTGTTACATACCCGGCAGTTATCAATCTTTGTTGGTGGTAAGAATCCAGGAGAGGTGAAGATTGGTGTCTTTGGATCATAAAACTCAAATTTCGGAATCTGAAAAATAGATAACGCAATTTTCCCAGGTGTTAATCACATATCAGGGAAAATGCTTTTGCTGTTTGCTTCACATTAAGATTAAGATATACGTAAGAACCCTACATCGTTGTAGAGATTGTATCTTCTCTGTGTTCACACGTTATGATGTGCAAAATCAGTGTGCCCGGGACAAAAAGGAAAGGCATGTATGCAATTACTACACAAGCTTAATGAACTCGAGGAATGGGAACTGAAGGGGAAAGGAATAAAAAAAAGTTGCCCCTATGGAAACAATGACATCTACCTCTTCGGTAAGGGCCAAGTTAGCATCATAGAAAGACTTTATAGTTCCAATGTCCTCCCAGTAGTCTCTGAACATATATGCCTGCAAATGAGAAAGGAAACTTACAGTAATGTCATCTTCAAAACTCAATATCTGAGTATAAACAGATCAATAGGTACGTAGAAAACATGAAAATCATGAATTGCTGATACAAAAGGCACAAAATTTATGGTCTTCAAGTTGAGTCTTCACTCTGCTGTTTCATTAAATCCTAAAATTGGGGTAGCCAAGCCTTGATGGAGATGGAGAAACTCATCTGCATTCTCGTAGATGACATGTCAACCGTAATTGTTATGTTACCTGGACATTGTGGTCTCTCACTGCCGCAGGAATGATTTCAGATCCAAAGTCATTGGATGTCGGATACCTCCACTTCAGAAGATTTAGCAAAACTTCTGTCTTAAATACATAAACTCCCATTGATGCAACATAGGGGCTTTTCCTGGCATCTTGTGGTAATAATCCCAGAAGCAGTGGTATCTGCTTGCTGCAGAATATCAACCAAGAAGAGTAAAACTGACGTCATATAAATTTTCACATAAATTAAATTATGTACATCCAAGCACAAGGTAAATGTTCAAACACAAAGAAAATACATAGCATATCATCATTTCATGGTCTTATTCTCGTCTATATTTTAACTTTACTTCCAAATCAACTTAATGCCTTTAATAGAAGAGATGGAGCGTGTGTGCGTGCGTGTGAGTAAGAGAGAGAGAGAAGAAATCTGATATCATATTGTAATTGATTTTGTGGTATCGTTTCGAAGGTCATTCTGATGTCCATGATTTGAATTACAAACGGCTTAAATGGAATGACTAGTAACTGGGCTTTGTAAGCATAAAGATTGAGTGTCAATGGAAAGTGTAAAAAAGACTTAACAATGAAAAGCATCATCCAGCTATTCCTTCCTCCTAATGCCTACTATACTGAGCAATACGATAACAGGATGCTAAAGTTATTTTCAAAGAGGGTGGAAAACAATTCAAGTGCAAAGGACCTGACTGAAAGCAAGAAAATAATCTGATAGAATAAATCTGCTGGTTCTTGCTCACCATTGCTTTTAGATCAGCTCCCCTTGGTTTTTCAGCAAACTGGATGATTTTACCTCTGCTGTCTATCTTCACCAATCCATAATCGGACGCACGACTGGAAAACATGCATTCAACTTTAGACAAATTTAAGAGCGATACTAAAAAGATTATAAGAATGAGGATTTGGGGTTGGGCTTGGGAACGTATTATATATTTGATATTATCTTTCTTCTTTGCCTCCTAAGTATCCTTAAGTAACATAGCGTGTATAAGGAAACTGCTACAACGATTGATGTTCCAATAGTCTTCAATGTGTAATTGTTAGACTAAATATAAGCAAGGTTGGCCCATGAGAGCAACAGCTTAAAATTTTGTAAAAAGTTGTGAACAACGAAAAAAAGTTACGATACAATCAATTCCAAACTTTTGTAACTAGTTGTAATTTGTAAACAAAGAAAAAAGTTACACATATGGGATCTCTAGTGTTGGAAAAGACCATACGTGAGAGTTATGTTAGAATATCAAACAATAGTCGACTCACACGCCAACAGCTTATGCATTTGAGATTGAGGTAAACCAACAAACATTATCAACAACCCACAGAAAACCATTAAAAGTGACATTTACAAAAAGGAGAAAAAAAAACAGACCTGTCACCCACCTGCTGCACACGAAATTGTAATATCGGCATTTCTATCAACATGACTCTGCATATCATAGAAAATGTGTAAGCAAAATTCAACAACAATAACAAGTCCATTGTGAAGGGAAATGATTATACCTGCACAAAGTCCATATAATCCATTCGGTAAAGATGATCGCCAGACAAAATCACTACTATTCTCAATATTCCTGTTCTTGGCATCCTACAAAAGAAACAACAATGCATCGTACCTGATATCAAGCTATGTGCAAACCAAAAGAACAACAGACAGACCCATTACTACTATCGCTTCACCCCCTCCTTTAATTTTTAAATAAAACCATTGGTGGAAAATAGTCTGCCCACCTCAAAAACCCATATAAATTGCCTCACAGCATCTGCTGTTCCTTGGAACCAATTCATTCCCGCTTCCCCTTGCGTTTGAGTGGCTGCCAGCACCTGCTCTTGAAGCCACCAAATAATCAAGGAACATGAAAGAGAAATGTTGAGAAGTGCACATTCGACTGAAGGTACTTTTTTTCACAACTCAATCCATTGAAACAAAAAATCCATTATTCTTTCCTTTTTATATACTGAGAACCACTTCATTTAACCAGAAAACAACAAGAAGCTCCCCTAACAGACTAATTTGTCAATTAGAGAGTTGATTTTTGCAATACGTGTACATAATCATCAGCTTACAACGAAATTTACTGTCAAATTATTCAGCTTTCAATCACAAATGCCTTTAAGGATTCATTACCTCTACAAATCCATCCCCAAAGTTGATACCGTTTCCAAAATAGGTGCGAGCAATGTGACGATTGAGAGAAGCAGAATTAAATTGCGTCAGTACGAAAATCTTGTTTATATTGCTGTTGATGCAATTGCTCATTGGAATGTCTATAAGCCGGTAGCATCCTCCAACTGGGACCTGCAATCGTGCCAAATCAACACATAATAAAACATCAAAATCAATATAAATTCACAAACATGAACAAATCATGAGCGTGTATAGTCACTAATATTAAGAATCATACAACCAAAGTTGTCTGCATAAATCAGAAAAACTCCAATATATACATAAACATATTTGATCTTACTGCGGGTATCGCTGATCTTATGGTAAGAGGAAAGAGCTGAGTCCCTGCGCCTCCTCCTAATATAATGGAAGCTACATGTTTCGGGTCCACTCTCCGCCTAGGTAACGATGGCATTTGCAGAGTCTGAGACTGAACCCAAGATTAAGGAAACAATTTTCATAATTCATCATACACAAAAAGCTAACGAAGTAACAAATATTAACATACACAAATGGCAGTGATCATACAAATTATATAAATCTCGAAAATTATCAAATGGGCAATCGAATGTAAGAAAGGATTAACTTACGAGAGCCTCGGCGTCTTTTGAGGTAAGAACAGCAAGAACAGCTCCAGGTATCACCTTCCTCTTGTCAGTTCTCAACTGATTAGCGCAAAGCCTGTTACTAAAACTCCCTCTAACCCTCTCCCCCAAAAACCCAGAACCACCATTGCAGAAACCGCTTGGTCTTCTCAAGTGGGTGTTTTTCAAAGCCACACAGCAAGAATCCATTCCTGTTGCCTGCCAACTGCAATAGAATTCTAACCGATCAGAAATTGAAAACTCAGATAGCAGTTAAACCAAAATCCCAGTAAAGTAAGAGGCTTGATCTGATCACCAAGTAACCAAGCAACGTACAGATCACACAAAGATTATTATTATTAAGTGGCAATCAAGGCATGATCAAACTCACTTATAGCATATTAATACCAAGCCGTACACACCAAAACAGAGTTTCCGAATGAGGAAGGTGAATATAACCCAGATGAGAGAGACTCCTAAAAAGTAGAATCTCAAGTAATCACACAAGTCCAACAACCAAACATTTTCAAAGTAGAAATGGAAAAACAAAACAGAATCAGAGTGTAACAGTGAATACAGGTGTCATTGTTAGCTGTACAATCTGCAGAATTTTGGGAGAAAGCGAATTAAGTGAATTATTTTAAAACAACGTGATTAGCTTTATTGACTTGTGAGCCCTTTTGAAAACTCGTGTTTGTAGTTACACCTTAATGTTATTAAATTTAGTAACAAATATAAATAAATAAATAGGTAGATTTGAGGATAACTATAATTTTGTTCCCTAAACTATGGTGGTTGCTTCATTTTGGTCCGCAAATGTATCAAAATGATTACAATAGGTGATGTCAAAGCTGATAGAAATACTGACATTGCGTATTTCATTGAAACTTTTCTCAGGGACACCAAACTATCAAAGTTTTTGCCAACTACAAAAAGAGATGAGAGAGATATACAATGTTTAAGTTGTGTTTTTTTTTTTTTTTTTTTTTTTAACAAATAGCGATATTAATTTTTATTAACAAACGAGAACACAACTACAAACACACGATAACACACTTACAGAGTGTCGTTTGAGTACATTCTTCAATGACCAAAAAGTATTGGTTTGGAGATAATTCACGCAAGTAAGCATAAAAGTAAAACTCTTAACTACTACCACAAGCACCTCCGTAACAGCACAAGCATCCTGGTACAAATCTTTTGTTGAAATGTCCAACATCGACTGTATCTATGAGAAAATAAAAGTTTAAATACTCTAATCCCACTCCAACTAATACTAAGGCCTTTTGTGATAAAACCTCATACCTGACACATTGTGCAGGTGGTAATTATCAAGTTGGGGACAATATCGGTGTTGCTAGAAGTAGGCATTCGACCCGTCTCTTTGATAATTCTACATGGTATCAAAGCCAAGGAGCGGGCTCGTACTATACTACCACGTGATAGATGGGTCCCCTTGGCCCCGTGCGATGACAGTGGGTCCCTTAGGCCCACGTGTAGGATGAGTCCCCTTGGCTCCACGTGGTTGTTGATGTGTGGATCACTTGTGACCCACTAATTGAGTCCCATGTGAGAGGGCATGTTGAAATGTCTCACATCGACCGTATCTATAAGAAAATAAGAGTTTAAATACCCTAATCTCACTTTAACTAATACCAAGACCTTTTGTGATAAAACTTCACACCTTACAGATTGTGCAAGTGGTAATTACCAAGTTGGGGACAATATCGGTGTTGTTGGAAGTGGGCATTTGGGCCATCTCTCTGATAATTCTACATCTTCCAAATAGATAGTCGACGCAACAAATTATATTGGGCACACGCAATGTCATCACAGATAGGTGAGACCATAAAAACCATCCCTGACAAGCGACGCTGCATCACTCTCTAGGTGAGACATCACCAACTAGACGTGGTAACTACAAAACAAACATTAATCTGAGAAACGGAGTTCACGGTTAGCTCATCTCCATTAATTGGGTTGTCCTCCATCTGAGACGATACTACATCTATAAAATCCAATGTCATCGCGGATAAGTGAGACCATAAAAACCATCCTTAACAAGCAACGCTGCATCACTCTCAAGGTGAGACATCACCAGCTAGACGTGGTAACTACGAAATAAATACTAATATGAGAAACTGGAGTCTACTGTCAGCTCATCTCCACTGATTGGGTCGTCTCTATCTGAGACAATACTACATCTATAAAATCTGCTGTTACAGAAAGCCAAGCAAGCTGAAGCCATCATGGATCTAGCCAAGTACGGGCAGCATTGTTGTGAAAATCAGTTAGTGAACAATAACACCATTAGAATTAGTCGTGGGAGGTGGATCTGTCCTACCAACAACCAATAAACCAACCCCAAACCACATATCTTGCCTCAAATAAAGAAAAAACCCTTAGGATGGGGCATATTTCGACGTTGGGGCGAAAGCTTCATGGAAGCATGAAACCCTGGTTGCTCACAAAATGGTGGGGCAAAGGAACTGATGGTCATACTACTGAAGGGATAGAAATGAAAAAAATAAATGAATAAGAAGGAAAGGTCACCTGAAGAAGCTAGTCAGAGGAAAGGGTGGGAGATGGAGTATCCAAATAAAGCTACGAGAGGTTAGGAGACGATGGAAAGGCTTAGAGGAAAGTGAGGAGAGGTTGTCACCAACTCCAAGCCAGAAGAAGGTGCCAACAACTGAGATTAGCTGTTGATTTATGGTTTTTTGTTTTCGGAGAGGAAAGAGGCTTTGGGGAGAGATGATTGCTTTAAATTGTGTGTTTGTGTATGGAAGAGAGGGAACTAAGTTGATAAAGTGTTTTATGTCAACTATTACAACACTAAAACGGCTACTCATGATGAAAGGTGTTACGAAAAACAATTTTTTTTATCATATTATTCAGTCATGTTTGATGGAAAGATATAGAGATATGAAAAAGGATTTGCATATGGTCTTTATAGATTTGGAAAAAGCGTACGATAGGTGGTCCCAAAAAACATTCTTTGGATGATTTTAGAGAAGAAACGAGTACGAGTAGCATATATCCAAGTTATAAAGGATATGTATGATGGAGTAAAGACTGCCATAAGAACTCATGAAGGACAAACCGAAAGCTTCCCTATAACTGTAAGGTTACACCAAGGCTCATCTTTAAGTCCTTACCTTTTCAGACAAATTCAAGATGATATTCCTTGGTTATGCTTTTCGCAGACGATATAGTGTTGATGGATGAAACTCAAGAATGAGTAAATGTGAAGCTTAACCTTTGGAGATAAGTGTTGGAATCTAAAGGTCTTCACCTAAGTCGGCTAAAGACAAAGTATATAGAGTATAAGTTCAATGCAAAAAGAGGCTCAAGTGAGTTAAGGGTGAAGATTGGAGATCAGGAAGTACCAAAGAGCGACAACTTTCACTACCTATGATCTATCTTGCAAAAGAACGGAGAGTTGGATGGAGAACTCAACCATAAAATACAAGCTGCATGGATGAAGCTAAAGAGTGCATCCAACATGTTATGTGACCGTCGTATGCCACTGAAGCTCAAGGGAAATTTTTATAGGACGACAATAAGGCCAATAATGCTTTATGACACGAAATGTTGGGCGCTGAAACATCAACACGTACATAAAATGGGTGTAACGGAGATGAAAATGCTTCGTTGGAGGTGTGGGCACACGAGAAAGGATAAGATTAAGAATGAGGATATCCGAGGTAAAGTAGAGCAACCAAAATTGAAGGAAAGATGAGAGAAAATCAGTTACAGTGGTTTGGACATGTGAAATGAATACCTACTGATACTTCGGTTAGAAGATGAGATTACAAGACAGAGGTTTAGGGCCGAAGGGGTATAGGAAGACCTAGGAAGATTTGGAAAAGACTATAAGAAAAAACTTAGAGTACTTGAATCTAACAGAAGATGTGATACAGAATCGAGAGCAATGACGTTCTGAGATTCACATAGCCGACCCCACTTACTGGGAAAAGGATTTTTTTGTTGTTGTATTATTCAGTCATGTGACTTATGGCTGATTAGTTTAAGGATAAAACTAGTTTTTCTTGCTTGCTCAGTTTAGCTCAAAATCTAACCGATAAATATGAATTTGATTTTTCATATAGATATATGCTCGTACATGCAAGTGTTTGGGTGTTAATAAGTATAAGGTATTATTGATTGCATAGTTGAGTTATTTAAATGCCCTTTAGAAAATGTTTACATCCTATTTTGTTAACTTTTGTAACAAAGTCGTTTCATGTTGCTATTAGATAGTTTCTCAAGGTTAAGGAACCAATTTGAGACAAAATATAGTTAAAGGACTAAAGTGAACAAATTTGAACAGTGGAAGGGACAAATATGAAATTAAACTCAGCTCATCCTAAAAGTCCTAGGTATTGAACAAAAAAATATGTTAAAATTATGCGACAGGTCGGTGGACCCCAAATCCCAAGATTCTAGGCTCTGTTGCATTATGAGCTGAACACCTGTCCTTTTCAAGACCAAAATGATAAAATAAAATTCAAACAAAAAATGTCAAATAATTAAGTGAGATAATACTATTTGTTTTATGATTTGGTGCATTTTCAACTGACGTAATTAAATTAAACTCTCCCACCCAATTGATGGTTGATATTTGGGGCCACTTGATAAGTTGATATGCTAATCAAACTAATAAGTCATTAAAATAATTTGTCACATGTTATAAACTTCTTGTTTAAGGATGATTGTGCAAATCTTAGATTATATTTTATTCTAGTTATTCTTTCTTATATGGACTTGTATTCCTTGGAGGAAAAGGATTTCTTCTCTCTAATTACTATAAATAAAGGCACTGCGTAGGGAAATAACACACATTCCTCCACACAACCCTACAAACACATCTCTCAATTTCTCTCTTCGTACCGATGGCCTCCTTCCCTTGTCAGATAAAATAGGCTACTACATGTTATGAGCACGCTTCTTCCACTGCACTTAGGAATCTGACGTGGAAGCTTTCTGCATTGATAGAAGCATATATATGCGACTTTATTATCTTATTTCTCTGCATTTACTTAGTTAATTTCCATTTATTGTAGTATGTTAAGTTATTTTTGTATTATGTAGGTCTAGTTGGTAAAGATAACAATAAATAGTCAAATTGAGTAATTTGGAGCAGTTTTGAACTTGGAGTGGATAGCAGGCGTGGATAATATGAGTTGGACGTTTTTGGTGTTTAAATGGTGTTAGACATGTGCTAAAATCTAGAGAAATTAATATTGAGGCTTGAAAGGCAAGAAATTACACAAGAAAGAGAATCATAATTGGAGAGAAACACTATCTTATCCTATCTTATCCAACATTATCTTATCTCCTACTGCAAGGAGGAATCCTAATCACATTCCAACACTTTCCACCTGCATCTTAAAGTCCTAAAACAACTCAAAACACCTAATCCTTTTCTCCTTGGATTCAGCCGTTCCCCCTCCCTCATATATATATATATATATGAAATTCTTGTAGCAATTTAGATTGTGTAGCGCCTACCACTCATCCATTGAATTTGTTGGAATTTTCAAAGTTCTTTCTATCTCTGTTTTAAGCTTCAATGTTTATTTTAGATTGCTTTTCAGT